CACCGCCTCTGGGAAGCTTTTCCTGAAGTCCCCCAACCCACTCCCACTCCCCACTAAAATGGGGAAGGTGCCACTCTCACCTCCTACGGTATCTTTTGTTACATACGCTGAACCCGAGGCTGGGCACTTTCCACTCACTGCTCCCGGAATCCTAACACCCTTTATGAGACTCTCCTGTCATAGACTAGGAAGACTGAGGCGTGGGAAGATCAAGTCAGATTCCACAGAGCTCAGTGCACCTGTCCATTTACTCTTCAGCCTCTGTTACAAAAAATGCAATATCCCTGAGGATAGGATGGTCTTATTCACCACTGTTTGCCCTGGGCCTAGCACAGGGCCGCACAGAGCAGTCCCTCCATAAATGACTGTTGAAACATTTCAACATGAAGCCCATAACGTAAGAATAGATTGAGCTTTGTCAACTGGCTACATTTAATTATAAATGCAAAGACTTAAGGATGGTATGATCTTAGCTAGGAAGGTGGATACCTAACAAGAGACAGGTAGGATTCCCATTTTGGAAGTCAGCAAGGCTGATTTTATGTGATTGTTTTTCATGTATGTATTTTAGATGAGGAGAACATAGGACCCAAGGGGAAACCTCAACTTACTCTTTCTTAAATCTACTTACGTCTTGATAATACATCTATAGTGTAGGGTCTCAAAATGAGATCTAAGATGGCACCAAGAATATCTGAAAGAATCCCAGCACTCTGGGAGGCAGAGGTGGGCCAATTGCTTGAATTCAGGAGTTTGAGACCAGCCTAAGCAACAGTGAGACCCTGTCTCTAAAAATAACTGGGCATTGTGGCGGGTGCCTGTAGTCCCAGCTACTCAGGAGGCTGAGGCAAGAGAATCACCTAAGCCCAAAATCTGGAGGTTGCTGTGAGCTGTGACACCACGACACTCTGCCAAGGGTGATAAAATAAAACTCTGTCTTTAAAAAATATATTAAAGTAAATAAATAAATAAATTACTATATACCAAACCTCAAAATAGATTTATTACCCCCAAATTTTAAGAATTGTGGCAAATGGCACTTTGCAACAAGTGTTAACGTACTCTATCCAAATGATACAATAACGTTAATTTAAACAGAGCTCACTATTTATCATTGCAAATAGTTAATATAAAGTAAAGAACCCAGAAATTTCATAATCTACTTGACACTGTATGAGCAGAAACCCACACTGGCCTGATATAGTGAACAGAAGCAAACAGTGGTAACCACAACACACCACTCAGTACAACTAGGGCTTCTAAACTGTCACAGGAAACAAACAGAATGAAATGAATGACTGGAGTCCAAAGAAGGAAAAAATGCTGTTAAATATTCTGTTACATAACCATTCTTAAGCCATTAGAGAATTTGAAAATCTATATTTAACTGACTTTAATTTTTATTCTAATTTATTTCTAGATACATCATGAGCTTATTTTTTTCCTGCGATCAACCATACCAATGTGAATTTCAGTGTCCCACTACATGTCAGTTTTAGTTTTTAAAGACATACTGTTATAATTGTATTAAAAATGAACAATATGTAAAAATTAAATGAAAGACTTTAAAGACACGTATGAATCTTACCAGTGAATTAGAGGTCAGAGAAACAGAAATCTAAGGTTGCCCAGCAGATGAGCGTCCAAACAGGGAAGGCAGGCAGTTCCCAAGAGTCCGAGGGGGCAGCCGGGAGAGAATCCAGGTTTGCCCAGAGAAAAGTCAGAGCGTATGTAATCAACAGAAGCAGCAGAGAAGGATCTGGGATGAAGAGACAGGAAAACCAACCAGAGAAACTTAGAGACGACCACCCAAAGGTGAACTAGATATAGTTGGAGACACTGATCACATGTTTTATGAGCCTCTTAAGTGAGTAAAGAAACAGGTAGCAGTGGAGACAAGTGTCTGAAATCTAATGTACACTGATAATCATGTAAGAACTTGATAGAGATTAACAACATTGCTAAAAGTGCTGCTCAGACCCAAAGGGCTAAGGAAAAAGAGGCATCGATGCTATTTCCTGAGTTACTTATCCTGTGACACTTAGGAGCTTTCCCTCATCTGCCTTTGGAGTTTAATGCTGCAAAATGTTTATTGGTTTCTTTTTGGAAGATTAGACTTACAATACTATTAAACATAGAGGTTTCCAACCATTTTAGATTTTTATATCTTCCACTGTATTCATCCCATACATTCAGAAATTTCTGCCTTCTCATCACAGGTATCAGCAGAATCCTGGGGTTGTGTCCCACCCTCCCCAAAATCTTAAGCACCAGACTCAAGGTGGTTTGGGCTAAGTGTCCTGCTGCCATGCTCAGCTGCTTTGGGATCTGGGCTGGTCCTTCCTACACTGCTCCAAAATCTTGCTTGTAATAATAAAAAATTCATAAAACAATTACAAATATTTATCTCATCTAGTCCTTATGGTAAGCCTAGGAAAGGAATATTTTTTACTACATTTAATGAATGAAGAAACGAAAGCACAATGATTACATGGCTCAGCCCAGAGAACAGTTAAACAGACCCAGGTACCAAACAGAGGTGCTATAATTATAAAAATTAAAAAGTTTAGAAAAAAATAATATCAGGTGTAGGATGCAAGTTCTTCTGACACAAGTGCTGACTTTTGGGTTATAAATGTCCAAAATGATCTATCGCTTTTGAACTATGAAATGTTTTTGACAATCCCTGTCTCTTCCCGTTCCATCGCCCCACTTCTACTAAAGCTGTTTCTCACCAATGTCATGGCCTCCAGAGCTCACGTTACCTGTTTTCTCAAATCATCACTTCTGTTCCGGCTTTATAGGGCTCTGCTCATACCCTCCTCCCATCCTAAATCTATATTCCCAGACTTGCTGATTCTTAATTTAGGCAACTGAATAAGCAAAGAATGAGAAATATATGAATACTGTATTTACCTGAATGATCACTCTAGAAGTGACAAATTTGGTTCCACTAGACTAAAATTATGGCTAATCATAAAGATCTTTGAGTGACTCAAACTTGCCAGACTCCCTGATGCTAAATCTATGATGTGCAAGTAAGGAAACGGGACATTTTCATAATGTCAAAGAATCTTTCCATAATTACTCATTAATTATAAAGAAAAATAGAAAAAGTAATATCACAAATAATGGGATGAACAAACATCTCATTGATGTTGATGTGGTACACTGAGACAGACCCAGGATTACTTCTGTAATTTCCCTGCCAAAAACACATAACCTGTTTCTCAACATGAGAAAATATCAGAAAAATCCAAATTAAGGGACATGCTTTCTAAACTAAAGTGGATTAAAGAGTGAAATAGACGATCCTGCCCCAGGGTAAATAAAGGACACTGTTAGGACAGCTGACAGCTGCAGTGGGGACCATAGGGGAAAAGTGTTTTATCAGTGTTAGACTTTCTGAACTTCATAACTGTAATTATATACAGGAGAATATCCTTGCTCTTAATAAGTACACTCTGAAGTATTAAAGGGCAAGGGTGTGTGTGCGTGTTATGTATGTGTGCATGTGTGTGTGTGCGTGTGTGTATGTACACGTGAGAAACAGAACAATAAAGCAATGTCACAAGTGCCAGACAGGAGATTTGGGGAAATGATGTGTACCAGTTCTTTGTATTCTTCAATTTCCCTAATTTGTATAATATTTTATCACCCATGCACACACGCGACAGGCATCTAAACTGAACTCTGTTCACGGTATAGATTATGCTTCACTTTCTCCTCTGCTGCCGTGTCCTGTGTCTCTACAAGGCCCATGACTAGTACTCTGAGGCAGGGAAATGCTTGAGGAGTCATTAAAAAAAAATCGAAGTACAAGCTTTGAATGAATGTCAGAGGCTAAGACCTAAAAATCTGCACATATTTGCAAAACTTCCAAGTCCTCTCTGCTGTGTGTGCCTCGTGTCCTGAGCTTCCCCCGGATAATCCCTCATGACTTTCCCAACTCACAGATTTTCCATCTGGTCACCCAGTCAACCTGCAGCCCAGTCACAGCCTTCACAGAGCTAAAAATAGCCCTTCTATCAAGTGGGAAGTTCAAGCACCACTTACAGTGAAGATGATAACTTCCTAAGACCTTTTTAGATGACAAAGCATCAGCAAATCAGGACTTCAAGAAAACAAAGGCATAAAACATGCCCTGTTGTGTGATGTCTATCATTAATTCTTAGCTCAGGGAATGGAAATGCCAGCTCTGAAGTCAACCTCTTGAATCAACTCTTGAATTTGTCTAGTTGTATGACTTTGGGCAAGCTACTTAACCTTCCTGATTCCTGCAGGGCAAAGCTCAGGCAATTGGAACATTCACATAAATGACAGTAACATCCTGATCCTGCATCTACATCGATAGAATAGAGGTTACGAGTAGCACCAACCATGGATGAATCTCACAGACATCATGTTAAGCAAAAGAAGCCAGAAATGGTAGAGTAAGTGACATGTGATGACATGAAGTTCAAGAACAAGCAAATGGTAACACAGGTCAGAATGTGGGAGAGTATTGACCCGGAAGGGGCATAAGGAAGCCTTCTGGGTGGCAAAAATGCAATTTCCCTTGATCTGGGTGACAGTCATACAGGTGTGCGTATAAACATTTACTAAGCTGTATGTTAAAAATGTGTTACCTCAACAAAAAAGTAAATTAAAAAAACAAAAAACAAACAAAATATAATTTCTGTGAGGATTAAATGGGAAAGTAGATGCAAAGAGCCTAGGACGTGGTCAGCATTTGAAGCTGAGGACACGGTAGGCATTCGACATGACTCAGCTACTATTATTACACCTACTTGTTACAATAATAGAATTGTTATTTTAAAGAGATGAGTCTACCTTTCTTTTTATCATTCCTTAATTTTTATCATTTTCATACAATTTCAAGCTTCTCTCTTTTCTTTGCAGTTCTATCTTGCTCTCTTTGTATTTAAATAAAGGAATTACAGTCATCACATCCCTGGGTAGCGTGGGGGATTGGTTCCAGGACCTCCTGTGGAGACCAAAACCCACAGATGCTCAGGTCCCTGGTGTAAAATGCTGCAGTATTTGCAAGTAACCTGTGTGCATACTCTCCCATCTACTCTAAATCACCTCTAGCTGACTCACAATAGCTTTTATTGTGTAAACACTGTGTAAATAGTTGTCATATTAATACTTTTTTGTTTAGGAATAATGTCAAGAATGAACAAATCTATACATGCTCTCTACAGACAATTTTTTTTTAAACTTTTAAATCTATTTCTTTAAATCTATAGTTGATTGAATCCACTGTTAAACCCATGGATACAGAAGGCAAATTGTATGTGGTTCAGAAAACCTTGAAGAGTGTTTTTTTTTTCAGACAGAGCCTCAAGCTGTCCCCCTGGGTAGAGTGCTGTGGCATCACAGCTCACAGCAACCTCCAACTCCTGGGCTCAAGTAAGTCTCTTGCCTCAGCCTCCCAAGCAGCTGGGACCACAGGTGCCCGCCACAATGCCCGGCTATTTTTTGGTTGCAGCTGTCATTGTTGTTTGGCAGGCCTGGGCTAGGATTCGAACCTGTCACCTTAGGTGTATGTGGCTGGCACCTTAGCCACTTGAGCCACAGGCCCCAAGCCTTAAAGAGCGTTTTTAAAGAAGTAGCTAAAAGTACGTGCAGTTGGAAGAAACACTCAATAGAAATCAGCCTGGAGGTCATCAGAACTACAGACCTGGGAGTGCTTAGCTAGATAATGAGTGGGCACGAGGGCCAGACTCTTCCTTTTCAGGTGGTTCTAAATTCTAGAGAAGTCTAAGCTGAAGGGAATTAATTCTAGGAAATGGTAAACAAACAAGTGAAATATCCCAATTCATGCATCCCAGCAAAGTGAGCTCTCATACTGAAGATCATTCCTAAACTCATTTGGCCTGATAGATTTTCTTAAATGCCCTCAATTAGGCCACACTGTTATTTTTTAAATCTCACCTTTATAAAAGCATAGCCAGCACCATTATCTGTAATGGTGATACCAAGTGTATCTTTGGATTTACACACGACCACTTCTTTTCTGGGTCCTCTCACGTGGGCAAAGATGAAATCATTCAGTCCTATTTGTCCTCCTATCAGTCTTTCCATGTCAACTTTAGGTGTGTTTGAAGTACAATATAAGATCTGCAAAGAAAAAGAAACGCTTAGGTCACTTTCTATCAGGACTACATTCTGTCATGAATGAATTCATAAATATATGAATGAAATTATCCTCAATTTAAAAGGCTACCTCACAGCCTGAGCAACATAGCAAGACCCCATCTCTACAAAACATAGAAAATTAGCTGGGCAAGGTGGTGCACACTTGTAGTCCCAGCTATTCAGGAGGCTGAGTCAGGAGGATCACTTGAGCACAGGAGTTTGAGGTTGCAGTGAGCTACGATGACACCATTAGACTCCAGGCTGGGTGATAGAGTGAGACATGTCTCAAAAATAAATAATAAATAAATAAAAATTGGCAACTCTCTCTGGGTAACGTAGTTCCCTCCTGCTCCTAAGCTACAACAGGGCTCCAGGAGGGAACAGCTGCAGATAGGGCCAAGTCTATCCCACAGGTTATTAAATGGCACTACTGTGTCCTAGGACAGAGGATGTTCTTGCCACACCTGAAACACCATATTGAAATTCCAGGGGATCATGGTTAGTAACTAATCACCTAAGTGTTGGGAAAAATGTCATTTCAGGATGGGCTCAGTGGCTCAGGCCTATAAAGCTAGCACTTTGGGAGGCCATGGGGATTATATGGAGGCAGATTATACATTATTATTAGAGAGGAGGATTATATGGATTATAAGGAGTTAGAGACCAGCCTGAACATGGGTGCTACCATCGCTACAAAAAGTAGAAAAATTAATCAGGCATGGTGGTGCACGCCTGTTGTCCCAGCTACTCACGAGAATGAGGCAGGAGGACAGCTGGGGCCCAGGAGTTTGAGATTACTGTGAGCTGTGATCACACCACTGCACTCTAGCCAAGTAACAGAGCAAGACATTGTCTCAGGAAAATTAAAAGTAAATTAAATAAATAAGTGAAGAGATATTTAAAAACCAATTAAAGGTTCCATCATAAAACATGTTTCTATGTTGGCTGGATAAAATCTGGGACACATTTGCATACAATGGCATTGGGTACCGCCTATCAAGTGCTTCCGATAGGCCAGGCTCTACACTTCACAATTTACATTCATTATCTCACGTAATCCTCAAATCACTTTATAAAGTACATTATTATCCCCATATTACAGATGAAGATACTGAGGCTTGGCAAGATTTGCCTAAGATCACATAGAGGGTATTTGTCAGAGTCAAGGACTTGAGTTCACATCTCTCCAACTTCAAAGTGCTCCAGTGGTTTAAACAATGTGGTGTATATATCATTTACAACGTTGACATTGAAGGTTATATTCCCAAAGGTCTGCATGATGTATACAGTGTATGATGCATTCACTACAATGAAAATATACCACACATAGAAGCCTATATTTGAATACTGGTAAATAGTTGTTTTGTTTTGTTTTTAACAGCAAGAATCTCGCTATATCCCCCAGGCTAAAGTGCAGTGGCGCAATCACAGCTCACTGTAACCTTAACTCCCACACTCAAGCAAATCTCTTGCCTTAGTCTACTGAGTAGCTAGGACTACTGGCATGCACCACCAAGCCTGGCTAATTTCTTTTTTCGTTTTTATTCTACAGTACAGACTAGATCTGGCTGTGGTGCTCAGAGTGGCCTCAAGTGTCCGCCTCCTTTGGCCATGGAAGGCACTCAGAATACAGCCATGAGCCATTCTTTTTTTCTTTTTTTTTGAGACAGAGTCCCACTATGTTGCCCTCAGTAGAGTGCCATGGCACCACAGCTCACAGCAACCTCAAACTCTTGGGCTGAAGCAATTTTCTTGCCTCAGCCTCCCAAGTAGCTGGGACTACAGATGCCCACCACAACACTCGACTATGTTTTTTGTTGCAGTTGTCATTGTTATTTAGCAGGCCCGGGCCAGGTTCAAACCCACCAGCCTCAGTGCATGTGTCTGGCGCTGTAACCACCGTGCTACAGGTGCCGAGCCCCTATTCTTTTTAAAATATGAAAATTTTTATTTATCTTGCATTACAGTATTTGAAAAAGGTGATTTAACTGGGCGGCACCTGTGGCTCAAAGGAGTGGGGCACCGGCCCCATATGCTGGAGGTGGCGGGTTCAAACCCAACCCTGGCCAAAAAC